AAGGGTTCAGGGTTCTGGCTGATGGGTGCAGGGTCTAGGAGAGGTCTAGGGTTTAGAGTCTGTGTACATTGTTGATAAGACCTACGTGTAACATGTAGGTATAAAGCCTAAACGAAATGATACATAACTGCAATGGCACCAATTATGACCCTGATGTACGTGTATGTACATACGTACTGACGCCGACGTATCCCGAAGAATTTCTAGAAGTCTATTTCTCATCCCGATGACCCACCCTAACCCCTGATCCCCAAGCCCTACAATCAACCCAGGGCCCTAAAAAACATATGGCCTAAAACCCTTAAAACCTAAACCCTAAAAAGCCTATACCCTAAACCATAAACCCTAAACCCTAAAAATCTTGAGGGATCCGACCTCCGCAGCAATGGCCCAAGCATCTTGGTCCTCTTCCTGGGGATTGCTGCTAACGAGCTTTACCTGGACCCCAAAAGTTGGGTTCAGAGTTTGGGGTTCAGGGTTTTGGGCTTGGAGTTTAGGGTTTGGGGTTTAGGGTTTGGGGTTTAGGGGTGTTTAGGGTCGAGGTTTGGGTTTTAGGGTTCGTGGCCCCAAACCCCTAATTATTGCCCGAAGGGTCATTTTCTTCTACAGACTCTGGAGGTCCAGGTAAATGTTACTGCATGGCAGGACAAAGCACAAAGAAACTACTGCAAGAGTCCGGACGAACTGGGGGCTTACTAATGGTTACGTTGGCGTTATAAAGGGGTTACACAAGGCTTATATTGGGATTATGTAGAGGCTATGTTGGGGTTATATAAGGCTTATATTGGGGTTATGTAGGGCTTATATTGGTGTTCTATGGGGCTCTACTTAAGTTGCCACTACAAGCAATTCGTTTGTTTTAACTATATACTCATAGTACCCTAAATCCTGAACTTCTCGACAGCGGCCTAGCGTCCGCCGTCTCCGTGAAAGTGTTGTCTGCAAGCTCTGGGAAGACAGGCAGGCCCTGAATGTAGAAAAGTGCACCTTGCAGAATGGAACAGCAGCCACACAACTCAGGGTTAGGATGCAAGGAAAGATACCCACAAAACAGGCCTCTGTACTGTAGGTCTGACGAAAAAGAGATGTAAATCGGTGTTGATGGATTCTATTTCCTAGACCCTCAATCTCCTAAGTACCCATTTTTTCGGGACTATACACCCCTACTTAAGGGCTCAAGGAGGGTCCTATTTCATTGGATATCGTCAACAGGGTCTGCGATAATTGTGGGCCAGGCATGTGCTACAGAGTCTGGGGTGAGAAGACCAATTGCTGTACCCAGGGCTTAGTAGCACATCCCTATACTAGGTTAGGCTTGGGGTTTAGGTTTACGGTTTAGGGCTTAGGGAATCCAATCCCCCATTGGTAGACGACCTCAGGCTCAGGCTCATATATCGAGCGTCCCCCAACCGCTGGAAAGGCGCCAGGCAGTGCCGAAGGCAAGCGTCAAAGCCAGGCAGAGCAGACAACCTTGCCATTGAATGAGGACTTAGGCTCCAGGGATAGATTTTATTTAGGGTTGAGGGCTTAGGATTTAGGATTTAGGGTTGAGGGCTTGGTGTTTAGAGCTTAGTACAGGGATTCCAAGGGAATAATGACCTGAGCTTCTCAAAGACACTTTCCCGGTCCTTCGCAGAAAATCTCATCCTCGAAGCCGCCTCCTATTTACGAGGGTCCCTAAGGGCCCCCCTCAGACAGCCCGGCCTGCTAAGCTACAGATTGCATCACGCCTAAACCCTAAACCCCCAAACCCCAAACCCTATAAACCGCAAACCCTAAACCTCCATGGCCTGACACGGGGCAAAGCCAAGCAACATGTTCAAGATCACAGATGACTGCCTTGGCAGCCCAGCACGGAAATTACAACAAGTGTGCCCTTCTTCCTGGCCCCCTAAACCCGAAACCTTGAACCCTAAGCCCTAATTGGGTTCATTATGTGAAGATAACCAGACCCGGGTAAAAGGGCACCACTGGGCTTGCTAGAACCAAAGCGCAGGTTTTTCTCTAAAAAATGTAGTAATGATGTAATGATGGAAAAGATAATGGAATCTACTATAGTATACTAGTGTCTAGGGTTTAGGGTTTAGGGTTTATATTGGCGTCATACTGGGATAGTGAGAAACAAAAAAAGGTACCGCCGGGCTTCCCAGCTGCTTGAGGAGGACTTGAAAGTTGATTGGGATATGTTGAGCTTGTCGATCAGCTTCCTGGGTTGCTGTTATAGGGGTTAGGGTTTAGGGTTTAGGGAATTAAAGACCATAATTTAAGTTACTATATTGGAGAACCCTATTAACGATTAACATATATATATATACCCATTATGGTAACTTACATTAAGTTCCTTAACAGCAACCCAGTTTATTGAAGACCCTGAGTCGCTACCGGAAACAACGAAGACTTCCAGTGTCTTTGCCAGGAGTCCCGGGAGAGCATGTCTTGCACTCCGACTGTCCCGGGTCGGCAGCGAATTTCCCGCTGGAGCAAGCTTTGCACACCTGCATTTTCCCGCGCGAGGCTTGAGCCTTCTAGTTTCAAGGTTTCCGTCAGGGTTTTGGGGTTTCTGGACAGCAGTTTCCGAAGCTACCTGTGCAAAAGTCTTCGTTGAACCAATTTTTTCAGAGAATTGCCACTTCCCTAAGGTTCCCCAAGGCTTCCTTGTACCCTCCCCCCTTGAACCACCCTCCCTTTAGGATCCTAAAAACCCTAAACCCCTAAACCCTAAAACCCTAAAACCCCTAAACCCCTAAATTTTACAAAGATCCAAGCGACGGCAGAGCCAGCAGCTGAGTAGTGACCAGCTGGACAGCTCCTCGGAACTCCCAGGGGTTTAGGGTTTTAGGGTTTTAGGGTTTAGGGTTTTAGGGTTTAGGGTTTAAGGAGGCCAAAGGATGGAGGTCTGCCATGCCCAGAATTGTAGACTCTGGGTTGGCCCCTAAAGCCCTTTGAAAAATATTAGTATGTAGGATCCCTTATTAAAGCCATTAGGTAAAATATTCAATGTTTCAGGGGCCTACCCAGGACTTGAGAATAAAGCTCAGGGCTATAGTCCCGCCGTAAGTAGATAGAATAACGGGGTATATGGGGATCTTACTATAATATACCCCAAGCCATATTCTATCTACTTAAGTGGGACTATACCCTGCAGCATCGGGACATGAATGCGCAGTCATCATTGCCCGCCAGTACGGCACATTCCTGTTGAGGTCCAAGGAAGTTACAAATACATTTCCTCATTTCTTTGTCCATCGCAGCGCATATCATCGACGCTGTTGCCGCGTTGCCGTCACCGCTTAGGATCGGTTAAGTTGTCTGACATTGTGACTGTTGATCCTGCTTGTGGTTGTGGCCGGCCCTGTCTTGGGAACTATTAGTAGTTGTGGTGGTACCTCTAACAGCTGCAGCCGCTGCTGATGCGGTGAAGGGAGGTGGAGCACATTGCAAGCCGGCTTCACATAGCCACGGCTCGGGTCCTGTTCGTGTTGCGTTGGGGCAGTGTTGCTGAAAAAGGGGTCAGGGGTATGCGTGAGCTCCAGCGGGAGCACCTGTAGGTATGCTTGACATCCCCCGGCTCTATCACGAGGGTGGTGCAAAGGAAGAAAGAAGAAACTGCTGCTGCTGCTGCTGATGATGATGCTGTTGGAGGCGATTGTTCCTGATGCTGGTGCTGCAGATCCAGCAGCTGCTGCTGCTGCGGCGGCAGGGGGTGGGGGTTGTTGGTGGCGGCGGCGGTGGTGCCAGCGGTGTCGCCGACTTCTCGGTGACAGAAGTTGGTGGACCATTTGTTCAGAAGGGCACACAAGGAAGTGCAAAGCATGGACCGCGAACAGCAACAGCCACTGCAAACAGATGCAGGAAACAAACAAGAACGTCCACAATCATGACACCAAAAAGCCAGCCCGAATCATGAAGGCCTTCTGCAAGCAGTAAAACCAGTCCAAAAGAACGGCAAGTTTCAAAAGCGTGAAGGAAATGTGCCGCCGCCGCCGCTACAGCAGCAGCGACCGTACGGGTAGCAAGAACAGTAAAAGCGCAGTCATTAAAGGTCCGAGTGCAATGTGAGCATCAGTAGTATCAGCGTTGGTGCTATTAGTAGTGCCATCAGCTTGGCATGAATCATGGGTGTTTCCCAAAATTAGGGGTAATTGTGTTTTGGGGGGTCCCTATAGTAAGGACTACAATATTTTGGGGGTGTATATTGGTATCCCCCATGTGGGAAACTACCACATCAATCTAAGCCCAGCGGCTTGCAGCTGAGACCTTGCGCGACCAAAAAAGCGTCTTGGTACTTGCCGGCGGCACAAGGCTCACAGCTTTGCGCCCTCCGCCGGCGAGTCTCATAGCCCACCTTTATTGCACAAGCTTGCCAAGTGGTGGGACGGGATATATAATATACCCCTATAATCCCTACATAACCCCTATATAATCCCTATAATCCCTGTAGCTTCCATTTTCTTTTCCATTATCCCATTATAACCCCAAAAATATACCCTACACGCCCACCTGACAGACCTTGCAGGCGGGCAGGCCCTTCGAATCTGTGTAGAGGCCAGTTCCGCAGTCGACCTGGGATCGCGTAAGGGAGACAAGGAGCCAACAATAATTCAACAGGGCGCATTTTCCTTTAGCAGCCTACTCGCGCCTGGAACGTTTCCGGCATATTGGACATGGCATGGATATACTATGCATGACAACCCACGTTTGCGACAATTACACCATGTCACTTTCACGTTGAGCAGAACATACCCAGATCACCAAAGAAAAATCCCCAGGACGATGCTCGAAAACATAATGCGCCCCCCAAGATGTCCAATGAAACTTCACGTGTGCTTGAATCTGCTAGCCCTCCATTTTCTGCTTTCCTCTAGAAAATAAGTGAGATTGGACACTTAGAACGGAATTCAAAGGGCTTCGGAGGGTTCTCCGAGGTTCCGTCCTATTCGGGGTCCCTGAAAATCTAACAGACTAACACCTTAAACCCTAAACCCTAAGGGCCAAGGAGCGCATTGGTCAGAGCCTGGCGTTACGGGAACGGTCCCCGCCTCACAACTCGGGTTTAGGGTTCAGGGTTTAGGGGTGTGTAGGGGAATGGAGAAGCAAATGGAAACTACTACATCATCTCCAATGGGGTTATCTAGGGGTATATTGGGGAAGATAGGGATGTTGAGCTATTGTTGTCTATGCTCGCAACATCTCGCAAGAACAGGGGACATGGGTTATAACCTGGCTATAGCTTGAAGGTTTTCCTGCTTGGAGTTGCGGCGCTCAAAGGCTCCAGCATCGACAGTTTACATTCAGCCTTTGCAGTGTAGGATTTGAGCAGGAACATGAAGTTGTATTTCCCCATACCATGGGCCTTAGTACTTAGTTGTAATCCGTTTGCTTGCACGTGCTTTGGCAGCTTAAACGGCAAAGAATACGAGGAGCGAGTACGGCGCATATTGTAGGTTGATCACCGGAGACCGTGCATCTGAATTCCAGATTACTCGGGTGGGGTTGGGGGCCCTATGACAGTCATTTGGTGGCTTTCTAGGGATTGTAGGGGATTAAGGGTACGAACAATGATTGTTGTAAACCTACCAAGATTGGGGTTTAGGGCTATGTGTTTACTTGAGGTCTCAGCGGAAGAATGCCACAATCATAAACCCCTTCCCCATAGTGGAACAAACGCTCCCCTCCCTCCTGATATAAGTAACAGTAGACACACCGTGGACCGAAAAATGATGTCCCCAGGGCCATCTATTGAAAGACTTTGATAGGTGAGCTCTTTATGAAATGAAGGAAGCGAATTATCATGAGATTTCCCTTGCTTCTGATATATGGACTCCTTTATGAACGTCGTTTAGAAACAAGTAAAACCTAGGAAGCAAGGGAATCACTCGTTCAAAGTTCAAATTAGATTGTCTTGTTTAAACTTAACCTAGGGCATGCGCATTTTAACTAGATTCGTTCTCTTCTTTTCGAACAATTATGTTATGAAAGCCTTCTACAGAACAAGCACGCATCAGGGACACAACAAGGAGACCCTGGGGCCTCATGGTTTCAAATCACAACTAGAGATCAGGCTTTGTGAATCATAACCCCCTAGTTACCTCAAAACCCTCCAATCCCTTGTTTGATATCTTGTTCACAGGCCCCTTTGCCTTTGGATTCATCCTTCGTCGTTGGTGGAGCAGAAACGTGGAAAGAGTCCGTGTTTAAAAACCAACCTACAGGCCACAGAAGCCGAAGCACGAATGAACGGAAAAGAAGAGAAAACAGCCCAACAATATGGTAGTTTCCATATTAGTTTTCCTTTCCTCTTATACCCCAACATATCCCCATATTTGGAATATGACATCCCTTATCTCCCTTCATACCTCATAATTTAGGAGGACCCCCCACCCTGTAATAGCGACTATAAAAGGATAATAGGGATTATATTTGGGTCCTATTCTATCCTTATTCTACCACTATTACAGGGTGGGGGGTTCTCCTAACCTATAATTGTACATTCACCTTCTTGGAGGAGAAGTCGCCTCGCAGGCGCTGCATCCGGGGCCAAAGACTGGAGTCTCGGTGCAAAGTAGCCTGACTCTGAGGGTTTAGGGTTTAGGGGAGTGCAGGGCTGAATGTAGATCCGTGATTAATACGCCCCCTCCGTTTAACAGCCTTAATATTAGGATCCGATTTGAATCCCTATTAAAGAGGGGGCGTATTAGGGTTTACATTAGGGGTTTAGTTACTTTCCAACTGTGCATGACATCCCATGGCTTCCCTTCGTCTGAGTCCAAGAGCACTTGCTGTTGGTAGGCGATGGAGTTTGGGTGCGCAAACCAGTGGTCCCAGAACGGCTGACCACTCCTCAAAACAGGTCAAAGACAGAATCCACGCTTCTGAGCTTTGCTGGGTTGCTGCTGAGGAACTTAGTTTAAGTTACGTAGCGGGGAAATCCTATTATTTAGTGTAAATATATATATATATGTATATATACACACGCCCAATATTGCAACTTGCTTTAACTTCCTTAAATCCATATGTTGCCCCAGTTTCCATTGCATTTTCCATTTGATTCTCCGTTATAGGGGGGTCATATAGCTTATATTTAAGTTCCTTAACAGCAGTCCAGTTTGGAATGAGCTTCCTTCAGCAAGCCGGCGCACTTCCAAAGCGACATTGTCATCCCTAGGCGTTATATTGGAGTATACTAAAGCGACTATATTACAGGGATTATATACGGGTAAACAGGTATAGGTGTTGTATTGAGGTCATTGTCATCCCTATATGATCCTGTGCCACCCCAGTTTCCATTTGATTTTTGATTTTCATGTCCACTGCATTCTTCATGTTTGCCCTGCTGCAAGAACCATACATGTCCCTAAACCCTAACCCCTAAACCCTAGCCCCTAAATCCTAATCTCTAGCCCCTGAACCCCGAATCCTAAACCCTAGCCCCTAAACCCCTAACCCCTAAACCCCAAACCCTAAAGCCTAAACCCCAAAGCCTAAAGCCTAACCCACAAATCCTAAACACCTAAACCCCAAACCCCAAACCCTGACGATTGGGTATCAAGGCTCGGGACCCTCTGGTAGACATTCCAATTCGTGACCGGAAGTCGAGGCAAAACCTCGTTCTTGTTGATTTCACCTCGGCTTCTGGATTTAGGATTTGGGTTTGGGGTTTAGGGTTTGGGGGTTTAGGGTTTGGGGTTTAGTTCTTTTTTGTGGGACCTTTTCTCCAAGGCACGAGTCCTTGGGATGCGATTGCAGCCAATTGCAGCACGGCCCATGGGCAACGGTCAGGCGGCACATATCCCCAAAGCAGCATCCTACAGGAAAACCAACAGGGTCAGTGCCAGCCCTTGCCCGAAACATTAGCCTACTTCAGCCATCAGTCTGCCTGCTACCGCTTGCACCCTCAGCCTCACTCACTGGGTTGCCTTCGCCCTCGTCACCAGCTCAGGCCCCTGCTCCTGATCAAGGCTATCCACATGGCTCGCAGGCACCACGCCTTGCATCACAGTCCCAACCGCCTGAGACGGCCTCGCATCTGGATCTCCCTCTTCATCCTCTGCCAGCCCTGCTTGCTGCACCTTCACAGAGTAACATAGTTGCTTGCCTTCACGAAGTTGTACCAACCAATTGACATCACGAATAACTCTTCCACCCAAGCCCTGGACCAGCACTTGTACTCTAGCACGTTTAGCCGGGGGGCCATCAACTTCCGCCGCAACAGCCCATTCCTCCCAACTCCTGTACTCACTGGCCATGAAGAGTCCCCATTGCCTTGCCTCCTCTGCTCTTTCCATCTCAGCAGCCTCCTGTTCTACCATCTCATCGAGGTCAATCTGAGCCTGCTCTTCTTGGTTGAGCGGTCGCGTCCTTCCACTCGCGTTTCGGACAACTTGAACTCGACTCCCTCCTTCCACCGCAAGTTCCTGGCTACCCTCCACCGTTTCTACATCCGGAGTAGGTCTGGGTCCCATTGCATCCGTGGACATAGGCATTTCATCACCAACTCCCTGCTCATGCTCCAGGGCCTCACAAGCAAAAGCAAAATTACCTAGGTATGGCCGCAGCACGACCCATTTCTCGAGGCACCATTGACGATCATGTTCCAGGATGCCGTCATCCTTCCTCGCGAAAACTGAGAGGAGGGCCTCCAGGCGATTTTGTCTTTCCACCAATGTGGGATGCCGCAAGTGAGGCGCGCAAACACCCTTGGCCAAGTCGTCTGCATCAGCACCTTGTTGTCCTCTTCTGCTACTTCCCCTGCACCCTGGCTGTCATGACGGTCAGCATCCTCGACATCCATTTCCTGAGATGGCTAGTTCTCATCCCCATCAGCTTCTTCAATTGGGATATGCCCCGGTCTTTCTTCCGCTCCCTCAGCACTGTTCCTGCCACATCCACCCATATCACTGTCATTGTCGTCAGTCCCCCCCTCGGCCTTTTCCTCCTTCATGTCATTCTTCACATCCGAGACGGAGAGCTCCATGGCAAGGGTGGCGTGGAAGAGTTCTTTAACATCCTCGCCCCATTTCCGCTGCACCATCTCATCGTCAATGACCCCCTCTCTCCATTGTTTATACCACTCCTTCCCTTGAGCGGACCGCAGCACATCATCAATTCCCACCGGAGCAGCAGTTTAGGGTTTAGGGTTTGGGGTTTGGGGTTTGGGGTCTAGGGCTTGGGGTTTAGGGTCAGGAAAGGGTTTAGGGTCAGGAAACCTAGCGATACATGGGGATTACAAGGAAATGATGGGGGGTCACCCTTAAGAACTCTGCGGCATTCATACTAACAATATCGGGCTACTGTGGTATATTATATACAGGAATGGAAAAGAAAATACAAGCTGCTATATATACTTTGGGTGGACCCCCCCACGCAGTAAGAGTGACTACAAGGGATAAGAAGGATTATATTAGGGTTCTTATTCTACCGTTTATGCCGTTATTACAGGGTGGGGGGGTCCTCCTAAACTATACTATTGGGCTGGAGTGCCTTTCTTGAGCAACCTGTGCTTGCAGGGCATGAGGTGCAAAACAAAAAAGGCTCCCTAAACCCAAACCCCAAACCCGAAACCGTAAACCCTAAACCCTAGGCTTCCTAGCTGCTTTGCCAACGGAAGTTGGTCATTCTGTCAAACTTTCCGGGTCCCGTCTTGCACCATCGAATCATCCTTACTGAGTTGCTGTTAGGGGACTTAAGCTAAACTAGCATTATATGGATATAACACTTGGAGGTCCATGGTACTTATAACCTACTTAGTAACTGTAGTTATAACCCAATTATATCTAGGGTAACTATAGTTATGGGACTTATATTTTGGTTATAACTACAGTTACTAAGTAGGTTATAAGTACAATGGACCTCCAAGTAAGGTTTAGGGAGGAGGGTCTAGGGATCAAGTTGTAGGGTTCATGGCTTGGGGTTTACAGTAGGATTTAGCTTGC